TATTCCTCCTACTGATTGTTCGAACCCGTGAAGCATTTTGCGGACGGACAAACATACATACTTACATACATACATACAGACCGACAAACCGACACACAAAGTTAGTGCTTTATAGAATAAAGGATCCTGCGAATTTCAGAATGTAGAAATCAAACCGTATCTCATGGACAACGAAGATTGCGATGAGTGCTCAAAGGCTTGCTCAGAGACCTTCTGCAGACTTTGCCTGCAATACTACTGCCGCCTCTGCTATCTGAAATTCCATCAAACGTGGGAAACTAACACTGCTCGGAGAAGTCATGGATATTACACCACTGAGCATAGTAAGGTGAGGCGTTCCTACTCATTAAGCTTTTGGTGAGGCAAACTTTTCGGGAGCCACCTTCTTATCGGTGACAGGCTTTGCACTCGTAATTGTTTCTCCTGTTATCGGGTTGAGCAGTACTTGCCTACGTTCAGCCTATCCAGTAACCTAGCATCTTCGTGGAACTAAAGGTAAAGTATGCTACCAGATATTCTGTATAGTGGACTTTGCCTTTAGTTTCACGTTTCAGTTTTAGCGGTGTTTAAATAGCGTTGAATATGCGACGAGAGTCAATAGTGGAAAAACAAAAAGAAACGGTCGCAAACGCCTCAAATTAAATCCCTCTAGAAGATGCAGTCGTATGAGCAGAGGGCGATCGAATGATGTGATCGAACGAGATCAGCGGGCAAGTGGTGTTATGGCCGATATGCTGCCGCAATCGCTCACAGCTTATAATGACTACCATGTCTCGGCTTGTCTTCTTTGACGGTTCCTCTGTCATATTGGCTGAGTATAGCGGCCGGCGGGGTCAATGAAATTGGGTTACTCCAAGTCCAGTTAGAGAAACGACAGCGTCGTCGGTTTGCTCGCTCCTTTCTGCACCACGGGATGGCACTCACCAGTCTACCTGCTCACGAAGGGAGAAGGAATTCAACCGATTGCGGGCACTGCCTTTAAATCACCACATCGGCCAGCAAGTAACTAGTCAGTGCGCAGGGTGGTACCTCTCGGATGTTTACAAAGCCATGAGTGGTCCTTTCGAGTCCCTCACTATATATCGTTTAGGACTACGCATTCAAGAAAAGCAGAGATTTTTCGAATATTTCAAGCATTGATAAGCGCACTGCACCCGAATACCGAGTTTCTGAATTACTCAAAGATCGAGTTTGATGAGCTCTCACGATACGCATTTTTCCTTCAGGCCTCCGCTAACAAGTACTCCGTGAAACACTCAGATGGCGTATTGGATAGGTGCACTACTACTGTGGACTTTTGAGTAACAGCTCAATAAAGAACCTGAAAAGTTATTTGTCGCTTTTTTCGGTTTTTTTATTCACCTCTCATTTCACTTCTCGCATTACATTATTATTATAGGATTATCTTAGACTCTGTATTCACCATTAGGGTCGTTCAGCGCGTACCCCGCTTTTCGTAACGGCTTTTTACATTTGATAGGGCCTTGCTCGTAGACCAAAGAAGTTCATTTTTGCTGAGGCGGTCGTAGGAACGCCAGAACTATCATATAGGGACGTGCAGCACTACTCCGGCGCTGAATTGCGTCTGCGCCGAATTATAGGTGCCAAAATCGTAAACAGGACCATCGACCATCCCCAAAAAAAGAACATTCAGCCAACGATTTTTCTTTGATTTTTCGTTTTGTTGGTAGAACCGCTTTGTCGGCAGTAGTGACTTGAGTATCGCGCACACTTCGTAAAGAAGATGACTTAGCGATGTAGTGGGCCGCCGGCAAATTTGGCGCGCCCAAGTTCCTTTGATGCTTGGCACAAATGTGGGTGACCGCGGCATTCTCGGAAGAGTATCTGGGGCTTTCTCGACCCTGCCATCTGCTCGCTCAACAAATATGTCGTTCCCCACTACCGACAGTATAGAAAATACACTTCGTTCAAGTTGCTTGATTTTTTTTCTCGAGTGCACGTGAAAGGATAGTTACTTTCCTTTTTTTGCAGCGATATTTCATCGATGTAGTAGTTTTTATCTTTGTATACCAATAAATGGGGGGATTCGAATAATGAGGCAAGGTAACGTAACACCTAGACCGAAGGAGGTCGAAAAAATTTTTTTGGTCGAATGTTTGTCTACAGGGGTATTCGATGGCCGTGATCACGATTTTGACACTTATTTTCGGCGGCACCAATATACCTCTAAACATCTCTTATATGGGTGTGAATAACATACGCAGTAGGAGAGAGATTTATCAACAAGTGGCCATAGCTATAAGTAGGTGCCATATTCGTGGTTAGGGCGCTGATTAAGCTATGAAAATCAACTTTCAGCAACGATCTCGCTTAATAATATGTGAAACTTGAAGTAATTGGATAGCTCCAACTTCTGGGGTATCCCCAGAATATTTACACCACTACTGCCCGAACGAGCATTCTCCACGTTACCACTAGGTCATCCGATCACCTGAGATTACTTCTGCTGCGAATATTGAAGAACCGTCCTAAGAAGTTATTCACACCTAAGCAAGTTTCACAAACAAGACTCCATTTGCGATCATTTTTCACCTCGATTTCAATAGTCCTTTTGAAAGTACCCTCCGTTCAGCAACTGGCCAAGGTTGCAAAGGACTTACAGCACGTAGAGGCTCGAATGGAAAATGAAGCCCACTTTTGTGTTACATGCACAAGGCCCTAGAAAATGCAAAAAACCATTTAAAAAAGGGAGCACGCACTGAACTAACTCCCTTATCAGAGGCTCAGTCCGCGACCTCAAATTTAGGGTGACGGAGTTTAGAAAAAAGAGCAGGTTGTGATCAACTTGACAAATAAGCGAAAAACGCACGAACGCATGAGGGGAAACCCCAAATCGGTACATTCGTGGACTGTGTCTTTACGCTCAGTTGAATGGTTTTCGTCATAGTTCCATGCAAGCATTACTTGAATCCTTCATGCAGAATGCTATGCACAGGCGTCAGAATCAGTATATTGGCTTCATTCCATTCCACATGGTTGTTTGTTAATCATGAGTCTCTCTTACTGTGGATAGCTGTTACCACTGAATAAGGCATACAAGTTGCTGTATCTCGCTAGAGTACCCAACAGCAGTGTCCCCTCTGAATTTGATGATCCACGACAAATGGTCCTCTGCAAGCCTTGATCCACGTCGACAAGGTACTAAGTCCGGAATAGCAGTAAAAGCAAGGCTGTGCGATTGTACGTTCTCATCATTGCGGACTGTCGGAGGTGGCGTGACCAGCGCGGTTCGAGTCCGCGTTCGCCTTCCAATGGCGATCGGGTAGAAAACGATTTAGGAAGGAAACAAGCAACCGCGGAAACACCGCATGTGAGAACCGCTGGTTGCCACCCGACAATTGCGGTGATATTGAGCGTATACAATAATTATCTAGCTATAATAGCTATAGTATCCAGTGTTGAACATAAGGGGGCGCTGCATTATTCTGTTCACTATACATGATTCAGAGGGGCAATCTATTATTCGGTACTTCTAGAGATTATCAACTGTGCTTTTCATGCATGAAAATTCTTGTAGTTTTGGTGCATAAAAAACTAGGAAATTGTGAACAATTGCGCAAGAAAAATAAGACTATCTCCAACTCCATCTTCCACGGTATTTCTATCTCCTTTCTATTTTCTTTATTCTATCTTATCTCTATTCTACTTTCGACACTTTGACAGACATTCCTTTTAAGTTGTCACCACAACGATTTGATCGCCCCAATTTTCAAGCACGCTCTCTATGTTACTTCCTACTTTGCACAGCACTGCGTGCTATACTTCTTTTACTTTTTAAGATGCGCTTTTTATTTTGTACTTTGAGAGGGAGAGTGAATTTCATTTTTATTCAGAAGGGAATTGATATGATGGTATGTTTTCAATTTGAAACAGTTCTGTAAATAGCTGAAGTTCGTGATATTACTGCACTGTTCTGTCTACTTCATGTTCATTTGTACCTTGTGCTATTACTAATCCAATATATTTTAGATGTGATTTTTGGAATACTTGCTCTTTGCATTAGTTTTTGATAAAGCTACATTATCGTAGTTTGTAAACTTGTTGCCATTTGGCTCAAAATCAATAAACCAACGCTTTCTCATTGTTTGATTTTTCTCGTATAGCCACTTTGTTTAGGGTGTTTATATGTTCTCCTATTCAGTGCTGCAAATGAAATGCCACACTTGTTATTCAAAGGAGATACGTGGGGCTGATCTAGTTGCAGTGTCTGCAGGGTCAAAATACGTAGTGCTCAATTTTCAGACC